GAAGTGGAACTAAATATAGATAACAAAGCACAACAGGAGAAAGACCAAGATTTGAAGCCCTGTGACAAAGCTTGAAGATGGTATTCTTCTCCGGAGATGGGAAACTACAGATGGGAAATTGACGACTTGGCAAACAGTTATACCGAGGAAGTTACGGGAAGTTTTGCTGCGTCAATCCCATGATAATTTAACAGGAGGATATCTCAGAATTAGGAAGACATTGAGTCATCTACGGCAAAGTATGAGGCGAGATGTGGAAGAATGGTGCAGAACATGCAGTACATGTAGTGCAAAAAGGGGACCCAAGCATAAGGGACGCCCACCTTATGAAGAGTTGCCTGAGAATGTGTCAAAGTTTGTGAAAGTGTTACTGGAAAGGATGGATAATATTCACCATCAAGTGCGTTCAAACTTGAAAACGTCTGCTGATTCCATGAAGTTATCTTATGGTAAGAGATTTACTGAAGTTAGTTTTTGTACCAGGAGACAAGGTATGGTTGTATAATCCCAGGAAGACCAAAGGGAAGTCTCCTAAGTTGTCTCTCCATGAAAAGGCCCATATGACATAGTGGATCGTCTCTCAGACGTGACTTTCTGGGTAAAATGTGGTCGGCGAGGTAAGCCAAAAGTGGCGCATGCCAACAGGCTTTGGCATTATCACGGTCCAGGACATTTCAATTGGGACGAAGTGGACAACAGAACAAATGACGCTGCTGAAGACGTGCCACCTGAAGAAGCCACCGTCAAAGAAGAAACTCTACTCGGTTTTGAGAAGGGAAATGGTGAAGCTCCTGATGAAGTTACTACCACTGATGTGACTATTATTGACGATAGGACATTTCCTGATGAAGCAGATGAACCCCATATGAAGCAGAAGCCAACGAGACGGAGACCAGTACGGAAGAAGATACGTCCCATAAAATTAAGAGACTTTGTTGAATTGTAATTTTTTGTTTGTAGTGTTTGTAAATTCTGTATATTTAATTAAGTTATTGTTATTTGTCTATTGGTTTAATGTAAGTGGCTATTGTTCGGGACGAACAATATTAAGGAAGGGGCAGTGTTACGACAGCGGAAGTCATGTGACGCTAGTAACACGTCATGAGCTTCTAGAAAATTCATGTCCCTTCGTGAAGCCTCGAGTGTTTACTGGATGTGCGGTATTCTTGTATATAAGACCGCCAAGAAGTTACGGCAACAATGGAATTGAATTGCAGACAGAGATAGAGACGACAATTGAGTCAAGTGCGTGAATCGTTCGTTCGTTGTGAATTATAGCGTTTGTTTAAGTTATAGCATGACTGTGGAAATTAAGTGTATTGCAAAGTTGTATTGAGAAAGAATAAACTAGTTTTATTTAAGAAAGGACTTGTATCACTGAAGTTTCTTCGGAAAGAATTTTTTACGGAAAATTAACTAACGAACAGAGAAGTAACAGTACTTATACAATTTCATGACTAATCGATCGAGTTACGGAATATAAGCGATAATTATTACTGATCTGAATATTTCAATAATTTATTAATTCTACTTTCTAGGAAGATTCAATAATGGCCTGTAAATTAAATTTTTCACTGACCAATTGCCACTTCAACTAACTGATTATTGGTGTTTATAATTGTATCCTTGTTTCTCGACATTCCAAGAAGTATCACGATCATTTAATTATCATTATTTAGCGACTCCCTCTTGCTAACATCTAAATTTAAACATTGAAAATACAACTAGCAACAACATCTTGACATATTTCCCATTATTCAGCGGATCTATCTCGTTACTCTTTGGGGAAGTCAGTGCTATCTGAAAATACCACAGAAATATCCAAACGTTTAAGGTCATCCGCAAACTTTACCATTTATTTCTCTAACTTCTTTCTATATCCTACCGTGATTTAAAGAACATTCACTTAATCTCTTCTGAAATTCCATCATATTGTTACGTCTCTGTTTGTTAATCAACTTTCTGTAACTTCGTTCCGACGAAACTTTAGCGACACAAGTCCTTACTTAATAAAACTGGTTTATTCTTTCTGAATATAACTTCATGATACACTTGATTTCAACATTTGCGCTAAAACAAACGCTATAACAAACTTCAACAATACTTTCTCACTGCAGATCAATTACTCACTGTCTACACACACACATTATTATCCCATCACGTTGTCACCCTCTTTTATATACCAGGCTACCCTATATCTAGTAAATACTAGAGCATTCGCCAAGGTACAGGATAGTTCTAGAAAATAGGTGGCGCCACACCAGTCACGTGACCTCGATGACGCAACAATATTTTAGTTTCTGGCTCAACTGAAGCCGGACTGATACATTGGCCAACCAACCTGTTTGGAAATTAACAACACCTGAACTGGAGTTGTTACTCTAAATTTTTCATGTTTTAAACGTTTCTTACAACAATATGTCATTGTACTTAAATTTGATGACGAGGAACCCACTTTAAGACAATAAAGTTTTGAGACGGCTTGAATGGATAATTTAGAATAACTTATTACGAGGTGAACATAGTAACAAATGTACGTTTCTAGAAGGTTTTGTCATCGTTTGTTACTAGAGGTCACACAGTAAATAAATAATCGAAACTCAGATCAAATGTAACCTCTCACACCATATTCTTTTATTTATGAAAACGTTGTCTAGATTTATGAATTCCAAGTATTAATATGTTTATATTAATAAAATTACGAAATCGTTAGAGAAGGTGTGAAAGTATCAGCCATCTAGCGGGAAAATGAAATCAGCAGCCCCCGCTTTTGTCGTGATGTGTACTATATTGGGCAAGTAATATATTAGTATATTACTGTTGGATAAAAACATATATTTGTAACATGCACTGATCCAGCCTTGGTCAAAGAAGTCTACTACAGGACAGTTTTAATAACTATATCTGTACTTATAATATAAGTTATATGCAAAAAATAAAAAAGATGTGTTTTATAACGATTAGAAAACGGGAAAGAGTAACTTTACCTACATTTAGCTTTATTTTATAATTAATTTATTGTTATATTATCCCAAAATACAGGTTTTGTCAAATCAAGTAAGTTAGATTACAGAATTGATGAAAATTAAAAAGCAATCTAGCCCGGAGTTAACTGAATTATGTTTTGGTTACTGTAGCTTTGGTCTTAATAACTGACAGTAACAGGGATAATAATTTAGAGTCCTAGCCCTGTGGTGCACATCATTACGTGATGCAATTAGCATGTCAAGCATCCCATAGGAAAAAATAATATTAATAATTTGGACCCCATGTTGACTTCTGACAAATCAGTTAATTCAGAATTATTATTTAGGTCTAAGCAATACGTATGTACTGTAATCACACAGTCATAAATCACTAAATTATAAACTAATAATATAAATAAAGTCACTTACGGTGTACACATGTGTTTATGCAGGCCGTGTTATAAACCCGTGACACTAACAATGATGTGGATGTTAATAACATTGTTATGGTGGTATGCACGCCACACAGCTTTAGCCCTGTTACGATGCAAATTACAAATACAAGCATTATTATACTATTTACTGTAAATTAATTTTAAAGTTACACTTACAGTTATGTTAAAACTATTATGAACAAGAAATATGATTATAAGTTACTTAACATGGCATAAGAAAATACTTGTTGACAGAAGAATAGTTGGCCCATTGAGGTCACCCAGTAAATATATATCCCCAAACGAGTTCATTGTTGTTATTAATGTTACATTCAATCATTTTTAAAAAGCAGTAGCATCCTCATCACAGACAGCAGTACTCAATCAAGGCCTTCATATCATCAGCAAATTTAAACAGTTTATTGACCATTCCTTCACCTATGTCACAAAGCATGATGAAATCACATTTGGAGACTGTAGTTTTGTTACCTTCACTACAAGAATAACATTAAGGAATTGTAAAGAGTTTTAGACAGGTTATACAGTGACCCTATATAATATAACTTAAAACATTGTTTAATTGAGGTAATAATGAGTCACTGTGATATAATGTCACTTTGTATTTTAAACTTGTATTAGTTTAAGCTTTTACTACAGATAATTTAATCTGTTTTACACTTATACTATAACATTACATTATTAGTTTAATTATGCCAGTTTCTGATAATTTATTTAATTTTCATGTTTACTGTTGCCATTTTTTTTCTATGTTTTATTATTGTTGTGACCCTGTGGGAGAGTCCTGGAATTTGGATCTGGTGAGCCAAGTCAAACCTGTTGATACAGAAAAATATTCCCTGCACTTCAAGCTGTAGGTGCATTATAAGAGTGACAGTCAATTTTGAGCTTTTTAAGCAAACATTGGGAAGTTTAAAGCATGATAAGTCTTCTGGGGCAGATAATTTTTCAAGGGTTTTGAAGGAAGTTAAGGTTTATATATGTGAGCCATTTCCTACTGCTTTTTGTAGGTTATTAATAGTGGGTAGGTGTCAGTAGTTATGCAACTCTCCGATCCTTAGACACCTGCTTATTGACATGCAAAAAGTGAAAGAGGCTTGCATGTCTGATCTTTGAACTGCTTTAAAACCTTGGGAAGAACCTAATCTGGTCCAGTACTTTATTTTTAATCACTAGTCTTTCTGCTTACCACAAGAGCAAGACAGTTAGTGGAATTTGCTAGTAGATTAACCATCAGGCTCATTAATCAGTTATGTTCAACTAACTGGTTATTCTCATGACAAAAGAAAAAAATGTATATTCTAAAAATTGGGTTTTAATACCTGCATTGGGCAGAGTACAGATAGCTTATTGCGTAGCTTTGTGCTTAACAAACAAATCTAATGGCAGCATTTTGATTACTTGAACGGTTGAAAAATTAAAAAGTATTGATAATCACCTAAATTAAATTATTTGATTAGTTTCTTGAATCTCGTAACACTAACCAGTTAAGCTGAATATACTTGAATTGATCAAATAATAATGAAAAATCATAATGGCATTATGTTGATTACTTCAGTATTTGGAATATTCAAAAATAGTAATAATCAGAAAGACAGATTCAATTAGTTGATTATTTTCTTGGCATCAACCAATTTAATCATAATTTTGATCAATCAATTATTAAATAACTGCTGATTTTACCATACCATAACTAATTTAGAATATATATATCTATAGTAAGTTAATTCAGGTAATTTTTCAAAATTTTGTATAGGTGTTCAGCACTTAGTGGTACCCATGTCCAAAGGTGATAAACATGTACAAATCTCTTTGGTAAGATAAAGGTAACATATAGCAACACCTATCCCATAAAAGTTTATTTTATGTGACACTAATCAATGTAATAGATGCTCATTGGTAATCAAATTAATCCCCCAGCTCTACTACCACTTTGTCTTTGGTAGGTGTTTTAGGTATGATGTTTACCCATTTTTCTTTTCTTGTTATTTGGAAAAACTATTGTTGATGTAGTTTAGGCATTAAAAAGTTTAGGGATTTAGACAATCTGCTTATGAGTAGTCTGTTTGAGTGGAGATAAAGAAGAGTTTGGAAGTACAGTCTTACAACTATGAGCACAATTCTACTAAAGTGCATGAAGAACAATATCCATATTCTCTTTGATTCTACAATCAGTGACCCTAAGAAGGTGCAAGGGAGTATCTCAAAATGTTTTCCATAATGTTTCAGATGAATAATATTGTTTTTAGCCTTGCATCACCTCATTAAATTAAGTATATGCAGTAGGTTTAAGTTTCAAAATTTCAGACCAATGCTTGTTTCATGACAAAATTATTTCTCTGTTACTTGAAATTTTGTGGAATAGTTTACCTAATATGTATGGTTTGTACTGTTAACTTAAAATCTTTTAAGTAGATTATGAAGGATTTGTGATTCTAGATGAAAGATGAATAATATTATTAGATAAATTTTGTTCCATTGATTTCAACAATGATTTATGAAAAAGGGAAAAATTATCACATTATTTTTTTTTCTACCAGTTTCCAGAGTTCACCAGCTCTTCAAAGAAATGGGTAGTTCTTAGGTGTATGTTGAGACTGAAGACTGAAATCATCACAAATCTAATAAAAGACATACTGTATAGACTAGTTTTGCCTACTCAGCACAGCCATGGAGAAAACAGTAGCTAATGGAATACACTGGAATGATGAAAATAATTTAAAAGGTAGTCAAACAAAATTACAGAAGAGAGGATCATCTGGTCAAGATCAGGATGGTGGCAAAGAAGATTATCATGGTCATTCATTTCCAGAAGGGGGCTGGGGGTGGGTAGTGTGTCTTGCCTCCTTCTGGACAAATGGGATCATCTTTGGTGTGATGAACTGTTATGGAGTCATCTTTGTGGAGCTGAAAGAACGGTTTAAACTAACTCACAGTGAAGATACTGCATTTTTTACATGTAAGTGCTAAATTTCTGACATACTATTCTTACCTTGCATAATTTAATCATGCATGAATATAAAGTTTATAATATTCAGATGTTAGATAAAAGAGCAAAGGAACCATCTATTACTTGAAAAAAAACTTCTGTACTGACTATTGAAAGCCAATTTTTATAATAACATAATGTATGGACAATAATGGATCAATTATGTTTCTTTCTTTTTCTTTTTTTTTTTTTGGCACCTAGCCTGTCTTTTCCAAATCTTAAACTTGTGTGTCTGTTCATGTGATTGTCTTTTCAGGTTGCAGCTTAAAGAAATCAGAGGCCTCTGTCTTATCAATTTCCCAGTTTAATCCTGTAAACTTCAAAAAGATCACCTCTTGCACATTTTTTTCTGAATAGAAAATAAGAGATATTAAATATTCCCTTAAGGTGGCCCTTTCATCCCCAAAATCATCCCAGTAACTCTCCTCTGAATTTTTTTTTCCAGTAGGTCAATATCCTTTCTTAGATATGGAGTCCAAAACTGTACATAAATTCAAAGTAGGGTGAGAGGGGATTTTCTGAGGACAAGGACCAAAGCAAGAATAATACATGTCTACAAAGGACAAGGATGGAAGCAAGAATAATTAAATACCACACTTATGAGTCAAAGCATGATCCTAGTCCAATATCTCAATCCTTAGGTTACCTGTGTAAATGGTTATTCCAAATAAGCATAGTCAAAGTAAAGAACCTCCAACTTGTACAAGTCTGTGTGTCATCATAGAATTAATTTTCACTTATTATAATTAAAGATCATTTCCCAAATATTTGTCCAACTAGCCAATTGATCTAAATCACTGTAGTATTTGAACATCCTAAATATGGTTAGAAGTATCCAAGAGTTTAATTAATCAGCAAACTTTACTAATTTCCTAATCATTAAAGTAAATAAGAAAAAAGCAAAGGCCTAAGCACTGACCCCTGAGGCAAAAGTCCAGTTTGGCTCCATGGATGACAGTGTTTTGTTTTTTCTCATCCAGCTACCTTACAGTCAAGATAACTGGTCTTTCCTTAGCTCATACCAGTGTGATTTTCTTAGCTAATCTTCTGTGTGGCACTATATCAAAACTCCTTTGGTAAGCTAAGTACATCATGTCTTCACTCTTTTGATCATACAAATAACAAGCAATGTCCTCAAAAAGTTCAGTAGATGGTAAGGCAAGATATTTCTTTGGTGAATCCATATTGAAACTCTTTTTATGATATCATGTTCCACAATATGATTGTGTAAAGCTTCTTTCTCCAGATTATAATTTTTCCTACAAAAGAAGTAAGACTAACTTTTAGAGCAACTCATGTCAAACCTCTTTTAAAAATAGAAATAACACTAGCAACTCTCCAGTTCTCGGGCATCTTTGAACATAAATTTAATCATAGCCAACAGCTGGTGTTTCTTTGTTCCTAAAGTAAGGTATATTATTTAATATAACAAATCTCATTACTTTTGAATTTTATATTTTATTGTTATATTTTTATTATAGAGATTGTTTTACATTGTTAACCTAATATATGTATTTGGGACTAACTTAAATCTTCTAAGCTGGCTCAACTTTGTGAGATGTTATTAGGATCATAGCCAAAAATATAATTTAATAACAGTAAAGGTACTCAACTGATGAAACAATGCATTCTAATCTTTATACATAGAAATGTAAGAAGTGTATAGTTAATTAGCTACATTGATTGCCAAGTTGATTATTAATTTTAATCTAAGTACATAGCTTTCTCTCATTAGAAGTTAATACTAATTGCTAGTTGTTCTAGTTAATATTAGAAGTTAATATTAGATACATATAGTCTTCAACAAAAACCTTACCATTAGCATCCTTTAAGGACCCCAGTTCCAATTTTAATATTTTGCTTACTTTTAACATATTTAAAAATTCCTTGCTGTTTGTTATAACATTATTAAACACCCGTTTCTTATAAGCCCTCTTTTAATTCTTAATTTCCCTTTCAGCCCAAGCTCTAGTTTTCCTATAGTTTTGTAAATTTTCCACACTACCTGCCAGTTTAAACTTCTTAAAGTACTTGCACCAGTAAGGGTGATAGGTTCTTGGAAACTGTTCAAGTTGGTGTTCTTCATCAAATGGTTAGGAAACCTATTAGGGAATATGTTATATTAGATTTATTAATCATTTCCAATTTGTTTATTGTCAATTGGGTGAAATTGGAAGTGCATTTGGATACATATGATCATTGTACAATGAGATGTGAGATAATATTACATAAGGAGATTAAGAACAATAGTATTTTGGCTCCAAATGTTTGAGGCGATGAGATAGAAATTGATTCTGATCAATTGGGATACTGAGTTGAATGGTAGATGGTTGTTAAAAATATGCTGCTAAATAAGTATGTTCCATAGAGAAAAAATAAAGGGTGACAGCCAGTAACAGACCAGAGTAATTCACAAGAAGTATTAGGAAGGAAAATCAAAGATAAAAATTACAAATTTAATCAATTTATGTTAACTACTAAAATGAAAATTTGAAGGATAAGATCAGGAAAGTTGGATAAAAAGGATATTAGAAAACAAAAAGATATATGAAAATAAGGTTAGCTGAAAATGTTAGAACTAACAGTAAGATTTTTTTAAATACATTAGAAGTAAGCATAATGTTAAAATGGGAATTGGGCCTTTGAGGAATGATGAAGGAAGGGTAGTTATGAAAGATTATAGGATGATTGAATTGTTATATTTTTTCTTTTTCTTCAGTTTTCACTTGATACAATGTGAACAATATTACAAATTTTGAGAAATTACTTGAAATACGAAAGATGTACGACGTTTATATTAGTACCAAAATATTTCATAGAAAATTGAGGCAGTTAAAAAACGATAAAGCTCCTAGTCCAGATTATATTTTTCCAAGGGTATTAAAAGAGGTTAAAGATTGCATAATTAAGCTCCTTACTAAAGTTTTTTTAGAAATCTTTTGAATAGTGGGTGGGTGCCAAAAGACTTGAAGTTGGCTAATGTGTTAAGGGAAATGACAAGCATTGTCCAGGTAATTATAGACCAGTTAGTCTTACCTCTTAATGGTAAAAGTTTTGTGGCTTATGTGCACTCATGTTACCATATCAAATAACATAAAGGTGACCTTTGGTCTGTACAAAGTAACTAGTCTTGGCCATGTTTTAGTTGACTAGTATTTTGTAAAATACATTCACATTTCAATGATTATACATTATATATGTATATAGATTGTTGCTATTTTCAAATAAGTTCTTAAATATATTTTTCCTAAAACATAGAACAGTAAATAAAG